AAGGGAAGGGAAGGGAAGGGAAGGGAAGCCATTCAGATGCACCTGATATATCTTTGCATTACCATTGTCTCACGTTTACTCCCTGAAAGTACCATTCCTCTTGTGACTGCATATACACAGGCATCCTCTAGGAAGTGCATTTAAGAGCATAAAAAAATTCTTGAAACCTCCATCTTGCAAGAGGCACTCTGAGCTTCAGAGCAACTTCCTGATACACTATACCTTAGCTGTAGCACAGTGAGTAAGAAAGACATTTTTACAGCTGAAGCACACATCTTTTATACAGAAGAGAATAGGCTTTCTCTTTTAATGTTTCTGTGGAAGCCTTTAATATCCAATCTGTGGTAAAAGGAAGCAAATGCTATCAAACTGCATTATTGAGGAAGCCTGAATAAATTAAGAGCACTGAGGAGGCTCTCAGCAGTGTTAATGTGCCTACGGAGAAGGCACCCCGTTTCACTACTCGTAAATCTAGCCACCTCTTCTGGAATGACTGCATGGCTAAAGTGCTCCTGCCTCCTCGGCATTTCAATGTTCATGCTTACTCAGTGTCTCAGTGTGGCTCTGGCACAAACCTGTAACTAACCCCATTTTATCCTGGTTATAATTCCATGCATTAAACACAAAACCACCCTCTTGTCAATAAGGCATTTTCCATGACCAAGAAATATTTCCCTAAAGCCAGTGAAAACAACAGTATCTTCTGCTTGCTCTGGGTTTTCTCCTAATACATTTCTCTGGATTAAATACACACTTTGTAGTTGTTTTTTTCATGGGTCACTGTTAATTGCATGACATGACTGCATTAATCACTTTCCAATAGCACAGCAGATTTTAGCTAGCAGAACAACTGAGGAGTGTTTAATGTCAAAATCCAAAGCAGTGCCAAGGGATTTTCCTTCACTCTCCCTTCCTAATTTATGTGATAAAATACTCCTGGGATTAACAAGACAGCTATAAACTGTGCCTTTGATCTTGCTCCCTTTCATAGTTGGAGTGAATTGAGACTAGCAGATCTAGCACATGTAAAGGTAGGTTTTTTTTTTTTAATTGGAAGTCTTCAGTATGATGGAGAATGGCACAAGAAAAGCAAAAATATATCCTTTCAATGCTTCAAAGGATATTAACTCAACATCAAGACAACATCTCAAGGCAGACTTTTTTCTTCCCCAACCTTCCAGATGAATTCCCCTTAAAGGAATATCACGCACCGACACCCAATAGGTGAATATTTTTAAATGCTCAGGAAAATTTTCCAAGTACTAGAATCTTCCACTTCTCTATAGAAGATGAAGGACACTTTCTTTGCAGCTGACTGTAGCTTTCCCAGATTTTTTGCACTGGAGGCTACCGTGTGACAGAAGCTTTGACAGGCACGTGCTCTTTCACAGTATCCCAGTCTACCTGAAGTAGCATACATCTTCAGTCTACGTTTTGACTACTGGAAAGTCAACAGCTCTAAGTCTACCTTCTCAAGATACCCTCATGGCACTGGCCAGCAATTTATTTGCTACTGGAAGCTTCTCCTTCCTTCTGCCTGTCACTGGAAGCTATAAAAGAAGACTAAGTTTTCCAGGATTACCTGAGGAAGAGTCCTGCAATGTGAGCAGAAATTAAGTGTTATATAAGAATGCCCTGAGGAACTGATCTCTAGTTCAGATCCCTCCTTTCAGAACCATGACTTGCTGTTTCTTTAAGGGCTGCAGTGTTTGCTATAGTGGCATAAATGTAGAGGCATAAATGC